TACAGCCTATGAAGGAGGGTGGTTGCTGTCCAGTAAGTTTTACTCATAAATTGAGTGGTGGGCTAGATTTGACTTCTAGGCCATTGCTGGCCAATCCTTGGTCTTCTATACAATATCTGGCATTTTTCTTACTTTTCCACTGTCTGCTCTCCAATTCTGTTCACTGTTGTTGCTCTGTGCCAGAACAGGGCCTGGCATACAGCTGATCCAGGATGCCTGTTAAACACTTGCAGGAGTAAATGTCTGGGGAACTGCATTGCTCTCAGACAATCTGTGGACTTCTCATTCCCTTTCTTCCAGCCCCTTTTCCCTGGTAATCTAGCTTTCACTTTCTCATCATGACTATACCTGTGCAGGTGGACAGGGTGACCACCACAATCTAGGGATCACAGCGCAAGTACTGGGAGGTGATGTGATTCAACCCAGAAAGAAAGGTTGGCAGTGCCTCATTACACAAGTGTGCTTCACTTCTGGTGAAGCTGCTGCTGCCAACATTGTCCCCTTTTCTAAAATATTACTGGACACCTCCCCACTGTCTAATACTTCAATTAAGACAAATAAACTGCTTTTTTATTTTTAATTATATTATTTACTTCCCATTAGTGATAATTTACAAGAAAATTGGTGATCTGAGACCATTTAGCCAAGTCAGTGAGGAGCTGTGTATGTCTCCCTACTCAGAATTCCCATTCTGTCTCCATAGTCAGGGTCTGCACCTGCCTAGACAATCTAACTCTGTGTCACCTCATCTTCCTCAGACCACCCAGAACTGATGAATAGCTCTTTTTTAACCTGATAAGTAATACAGGAAAATTGTACAAACTCTAAAGGTACCATATGATGTTCTGCTACACACACACATTATGTGATGTTTAAATGAGTTAAAACTTGAGCATCTCTTCAAACCTATATTATTTCTTTACAGAAAGAAAATGCACCACTTTCCTCTCTTGTTGGTTTTTAAAAGATATAATAAAATGGTACTCTGTGCAGGTATACTTCTATGGGATCACACATCAGAACTTCTTACGTTTGTCTATGATGTAGTAAAATTTTATCTACCCTTCTCCATCTCTCCCTATCCAGTTAAAGTCTGCAAACTTCTGGTAGCCCTCATCATTCCCTATTTTCCATGAGATCAGCCTTTTTCAACCTATATCCTTCATGTAACTGAAGCACTTGTCATTAAGGGTTTAGCTAACTTCACTTGATTCATCCAAGGCACAAATCAAAGTATTTCTTTTATGTCTGAATAATATTCCATTGTGTATATGTATCTCATTTTCTTTATCCACTCATGGGTTGATGGCTTTGTAGGTTGTTTCTATTTCTTAACTATTGTGAATAGTTCTAACAAAATCATGGATACAAGGTATGCCTTTGGATATATACCTGGTAGTGAGATTGTTGAATCACATCCTGAGTTTTGCTTTTAATTTTTGAGAAGCCTCCATACTATTTCCCAGCAGATTTCTTTTTTCTCCACTTTATTGCTAGCTTCTGATAACTTGTTTTTCTAACATTCATTCTTATTGGAAAGAGGTAGAATGTTTATTGTGGTTTTGATTTGCATTCCTCTGATGACCAGTAATGTCCATTGTTTTATATCCATAATGATCATTATAAAACATTACTTCTGAAAGATTACTTTTTAGATCTGTTAACCAATTTTAACTGTTTCCTTACTGTTGGTGGTGTTCCTTTCATTTTCTGAATATTACCATTGTCAAAGGCATAGTGTGTAAACATTTTTGTCTTGTTGTATAGGTTGTCTCTGTACTTTGATGATTATTTACTCTTACTTTTTAGTTTGATGCAAGCCCACTTATTTATTTTTGCTTTTTTTCCCTTTACTTCTTGGTCATCTACAAATACCTCTCAAAAAACACAGCTATCATATTTGGTGTGTAACGTGAAGGAATGGATGGAGTTGGGAGAGATGGGAGAGGATGGAAGGGGTGTCAAGATGCGTTTTACTACCAACTGGCCAGTTGAATTGAAACCTCTTTTGTGCAACTACTTAAGGGTAATTTTGAAAATTCCCTGTTCATTCCAATGAGCTTTCTTCTAGCTGTTCATAGGTTTAGAGCCTCCACTTAACTCTTTATTTCATTTTGAGTGGATCTGTATGTCTGGGAAATAAGGAACTGTGTTCTACTCTGGTACATGCACACCTGCAGCATTTATTTCATCACTGCCCAGGTCCCAGTATCTTAGTCAAAAAACAGTTGGCTATAGATTTGTGGGTGTACTTCGAGACTTTCTATTCTAAGATTCCCTTGGTTTGTTGTGTTTTTAAGCTAGTTTGTACTACCACTTTGTAGTTTGTTTTGAAGTTACATCATGTAATGTGTTTTGCTTTATTCTTTTTACTTGAGATTGCTTTAGATGTGTGTGTGTGTGTGTGTGGTTGCATATAAAGTTTAGGATAGTTTTTTGTTCTTGTTTTTTTTTGGGGGGGGTTCCAGTCTTGGGGCCTGAACTCTGGGCCTGGGCACTCTCCCTCAGCTCTTCAGCTCAAGGCTAGCGCTCTACCACTTGAGCCACAGCACCACTTCCGGCTTTTTTCTTTTTGCTTATGAGGTGCTGAGGAATCGAACCCAGGACCTCTGGCATGCAAGGCAAGCGCTCTACCACTGAGCCACCTTCCAGCCTTAGGATAGATTTTTTTTTAGCTCTGTAAAACTCATTGATGTTTTCATGACAATTGCACTGAATCTAGAGATACTTCAAATAGAATAGATTTTTTAATTTTTTTTTTTTTTTGGTCAGTCATGGGCCTTTAACTCTTGTCCTGGGCACTGTCTTTCAGCTCTTCAGCTCAAGTCTAGCGCTCTACCACTTGAGCCACAGCACCATTTCCAGTTTTCTGGGTAGCTTATTGGAGATAAGAGTCTCATGGACTTCCTGCCTGGGTTGGCTTTGAATCATGATCCTCAGATCTCAGCCTCCTGAGTAGCTAGGATTACAAGTGTAAACCACTGATGCCTTGCTCAAATAGAATAGATATTTTAACAAAATTGTTTCTTCTAATCCATGAACATGGCATGGCTTTCCTTGTTTTTCCTCTATCTTCATCTAATTATTTCATCAATGTGTCACACTTTCCATCATTGTGGGTTTTTATCTCCCTGGTTAAATTTAGTCTTAGACATTTTTCCTTATTTTTGTACCTATTTTAAATGTAATTGCTCAATCAATTAAAAAAATAGACACAGATATACAATGGAATATTATTCTTTCAAAAATACTTCATAAAACCCTATCAATTATAACAACATGGATAGAACTGGAAAGTATTATGTTATGTGAAATAAACCAAACACTGAAACACAGACACCATGTGTATTTACTCCTTCATAGAAGCTAAAATTTTAAATCTTCTGCAAACAGAAAGGATTATAAAATTCACTAGGAGTTGCAAAAAAGTAAGAGAGGGAGTGTAGAGAAAAAGTAAATCATGGGTAACTAAATACAACTGTGGGAACTATTTCTGATGTTTTATAGCAAAACAAGCCGCTTTGATATACAACAAAAGCTACAAATTTCAAGAATTTGAATATTTTTTCAATTAACCCATTTATAATTTTGAGAACTAAAAATTTCTATTACCCCGATTTTGTGATTGCCTATTTTATACCTGTATTAAATTACAAAACTGTGCCAACCAAGAGTAAAAATATCACATCGATAAAAATAAACTTTAAACATCTGAGTTAAACTAAACCTATTTAAAAAGCTTTTCTTCCCATCATCTTTGTAGATCATCTGCCTATTCTTGCTCCAGTCAAGAAGCATGAGTCAGGGGCTGGGAAGGTGGCTCAGTGGTAGAGCGCTTGCCTCGCATGCTCGAGGCCCTGGGTTCGATTCCTCAGCACCACATAAGCAAAATGAAAAAAGCCGGAAGTGGCGCTGTGGCTCAAGTGGTAGAGTGCTAGCCTTGAGCTGAAGAGCTGAGGGACAGCGCCCAGGCCCAGAGTTCAGACTCCTCGATCAGACCCAAAAAAAAAAAAAAGAAGAAGCATGAGTCAGGCACAGCTCCTAAGTGGATGGCATGAACTCTGCATAAACAATTCCATGCTTATTTATGGTATATACCTGTTCTAAGACACATGGTGGATGGCTGAAACTGTGCTTATGATTAAACTTTCCATACTGTTTTCCCATATGCAAATACATCTCTGATAATGTTTGACTAAATATTAGGCACAGTAAGAGATCCACAACAATAGTCACTCGTAGTAAAATAGAGCAACATGACAACCCACTAGAACAAAATGGCTAGCATCTCTACTCCAGCTCGTTGGGACCATCACTGGGCTAATGAAAGAAGCACACAGCTCTGCAGCCTTGGATGTTAGATCTGACACCCAGATGCCTCTGATTGGCTGATGGGCACCTGTACACAGCACCCAAGTACTGCTCAAAGAGATGATTTAGGTCTCCAGGCAACAGAACAGAACAGCATCAGATTTCATCTTACTACACAGAATGGTACACGATTGAAAATTTGTAAATCAATTTCCATTGCTTATCCATGACAGAGAGTAGGTGAATCAAACCTGAGAAAGGAAATAACATAAAAGGGGTAGAATACTGGTTTTGTAAATAATGAATTATCAGAAATACCAATCATGTTCAGTTATGTCTTCAAAACTGAATTACCACTTAATCACATTTAAAAAACAACAACCCAACAGCATACATTGAAAACAGAGAAAGGGCCTACCACCATGTATAAAATTAAGTTTTATTTTAAAATTTATAATTTATATACCTCTTAAACAAATGAAAACTCAAAAAGTACTAGGGGATAATGTTAGCACCAAATATTAACAGAATATTGGCCCAGTTCATCAGTAATGATGATGTTTACTGGAGTAAACATATAACGCTTCCATATCCCAAGTGGTGTCTTCAGGGATTCCAGGGTATACACCACACCTCAGACACTGGCCAGGTTGAAGATGAAGTCCCTCCTGGTAGCATCATCCAGCAGCTCACACAGTTGGGAAGCTGGCATATGAGGCAATGCCGCAGTAGTTGTTTTCGTCTCGGGCTATCTTTATATAGCCCCGTATGCCCCAATTTGTCCCCCAGCTGAAAAAAAGGGAAAGTTTTCTACTTAATAAAAATAATACAGCACATTGGTTTTAAACACTGAACCAGGGACCACAACCTAAGAGAACCAATTGAGATAAACAGATGTTCTTCTTCTTCATTTATGTTTTGTTAAGTATAATGCATAGAACTTTCACCCTCAAAGGCAAACAATTACCTTACATAAAATTGCAAACTTCAGAAATAGAGATAGGGTGAGATGCCTTTCTAGTAATGTCTGTTAGAGATGTAAGAACTTTCTCTGAATTTGGAAATGCATTGGTATGAAGGCCATATGAATAGCCTCAGAAAACACATGACAGAATCCAGTATTATGACCACACATTTGTGGTTCTATAATTCAGAGAAGGAGTTTTGGAACCTCTAGCCAAATATTGACTGTGAACAGTTCTCTTTTGGGATTCCCTTTAAGAATAGATTTTGGCTATTTCTACCTGTTCTTAACCAGCCAGTATTTTCTGATCTGTGATTGCTGCCTTTCGTATCCATAGCCAACCACCAGAACAGCATGATTCACACTTGTGTTGCTGCAGGCCGGTTCATCATAAATGCCTGAAGAAGAAAACCAAGGCTGAGATGAGATTCCAGAACCTGACAGTAACCCAGTATAATAAAAAAAAAAAGCAAGGCATTTCTAAATTCACTAAATTGATATAAGATTTAAAAATAAAATCAACTAGTTGGAATTAATTTGACAAGTTTAGGACACAATGCATAGCAGTGAAAAACAGTGAAGCATTTTATCTTGCGAATCCTGTTTTTATCATGAACAAAACAATCTATCTTGAATGGAACCTTTAATGGGAAGAAATTAACAGCTGAGTTTGTGAGTAGAGCCCTTATCAGAGCTACATCTTTTGTTCAACATGTCTATTTGTCTGGATAAATACTTGTTGAGATGAACTGGTATCTGATGTGTTGCACTACACACCTAACTTATAGTGCCAAAATGGCCTCGTCTAATGCTTGCAGACACATTAAAGGTGTCTTATCAGAAGTTCTTGCACAATAGGGTGAATAAAAAAAATAAATGAAATAAAATATATTATTAGCAAGGCTAGAAATTTGGGCTTTCATCAGAAATGCAAATTGGCACAAATCCTCTTGTAAAAAATCTTGTCTAGAGGCATGCAAGAGTATTCTATGAATTTTGTTAGTCTACCTATATGAACTAAATCAAAGGAAACAGCACATAAAACTACATCACATGAATATGGAGGTTCTGTGAAGACTTAATTACAGAAATACAGTCTCTAGTGAATACTTTAACATCCAATAATCAAACTGGACTAAATAAATTGAGCTATGTAATAAATGAAGTAGCTACATTTAAAAGATAATGAAATACCCTCAGATCATATGGATATCCTTACAGTAATTAATATCAAGTGGATACAAGACATAGAATGTAAAAGCCAAACTCCCAAATAATTACATTAAATTTTACCTACAAGAGATCATCAAGTTGACATGTCATGATGGTACTATGGATTTCTGCATGAATTTCTAGAAAGAAATATATTTACCTCCTATATAATAGTTGAAGGAATCATGACTTGCATCAATAGCAGCAGAAATGGGCCCCACAATGGCCACAGCTCTCTTAAGTACCTCCTCTGAAGAAGGGATGTACACAGTGCCTGTGTCAGTAGCAGCAGAATACTCAGGTCTGTACCTGCAGGGTCCTTCCTTTGGAAGGAAGAGGGAGGAGACTCAATTATTGGCAGGCATTTCCTTGGGAACATGAGTTAGACCCACAACATTCAGTGGTATGCAGCTTAGGGCTTCTAAGTCAATGCTCCTATAAATCTATCAGGACCTGAAACTGAGTTGGACCTAGGAATTGGTGCACAAATCTTCTATGAGACATTGGGCATTCTATCCTTGAGAAATGTTCACACTGAAGAAATTTGCATTTTTATGTGCAAGCTTGTACATCTCAAGTTACACAAAAGCAAGCACAACTCCATGGGCAACTATCTCATCAGAGAACTGTGCAGAACTAATAGTTTATCATCACAGCACTGAAGCCTTACAGAGATAGATTCTGTCCTCTAACATGTGGATTCTGAAGAAGGTTTTCCCCAAAGCTGGGCTGGAACATAAGGAGTTCTGTTTACCTGGTCTTCATATGGATAGGCTGCCTCTGAGTCCAGGCCTCCATTCTCGTAAACATACTCGAAGGCATGATCCATCCAGCCACCACTGCATCCGTCATTACCTTGAGGCTGAGAACAGTCCACTAGGTTTTGTTTACTCAGTGCAACTAGTCTGCCAGTTTTCCGGAACATCTGTCCTTCTAGGGCCCCAGCAGCACTAAAAGCCCAACAGGCATTACAAGCACCCTGAAAAATGAATAAGTAGACAAATAATAAGACTAAGATAAAAATTTGCCTAGCTGAGTATTGTCATTACTCTAGCATTGACTAAATCAAGGAACTGATTTCATTTTTGGCAGTGAAAGGGATACATGTGACATGGTCATACCTGATTCATCACGGGGGTCACATAGCCTCTTCCTCTCCAATCCACATAGTCTGGGACATCACCAGTCAGCCTTTCCTGGAATACCATCCCTTTCTTTTTCTTAGGGATTTTCAAGCCCATCATCCTTTCCCTAATTTCTTTTTTTGTCTTTAAGAAAAAGTAAAAAAAAATATTGAAAAGCAGGATATTATTTTGTATAGGAGTGCAAGAAGAGCAAGCCCAGAGGTAAGCAAGGCACACCACACTCACCATGTCTCCAAAGTCATTCATTGCCAAGGTGAAGCTGTGCTTCCCTTCTTTGTACTCCTCATTGTGTATTTCAATCATTTTCATATTCTTCTCCCATATGGCTCTCCTATATAGCTCTTCGTTCTACAAGTAAATAGAAATGATGATTCTCTCCTCTGTACATCACCTTTATAATAACAATAAAAGAAATTTATAAGTGATGATTCTCTTTCTACTTAAATCTAGCCCACATTCACCGAGAGGCCCTGCTGACAAACATGAAGTCTGGGGACGGCTTTATACTTCTGGAAGCTGTTCCATACCCACAGGAAACATGGATTTTCCCCCACATTGTGCGTTCATTTGATGTTATTAGTACTGCTTTGGAAAACCTTGGCTTATAGAAACCATTCTCAAGCGGGAGACTATCGAGAGGAAGGAGTAGTTTCTCCCAATTCCCTCTAAATACGTTCAATGTTACTAACCATGTCGTATGTTTTTCCATACATTAACTTCCACTCCTGCCATTTTGCATCAAAACGATAATCCAATATTGGAAGAGCTGAGGCCAATCCCAAGCAAAGAATAGCCAGGAGGAGAGAAGGATTCATGTTGCAAGAGCCTAGAAAGGGACAAGAAATCACTCTAATTAAACAATGTTTCTAAAATGCCTTCTTATTCACATGAGTAAAATTAAAGACATCATGGTGAACAGAATATTTAAAGTGCTCTTCTAAGTATTTATGTAATAGCTGTTAATGTTTGAGGATGTGTTTGGATTAAAAATGTTGTATTTGGTCAGTTCAACAGAATTAATAGCAGGCTTTCCAAGGTTTTAGGACTTTAAACCAAGTATGCAAGGACTTAAGTTTTAAGAATTATATGAATGTATCATGGTTCAGAAGCTTAAAGCAACATCTAAGAAATCTGGATATAATGTGTCCAGCTATTCTGCCAAGGATAATGAGATCAAAGAGCAAACTTTCGTTGCTGAGGCCTCTGCTCCTGAGTACCAGTGATCATAACTCCACCACCCAGGAGACTGCCAGTGTGCAACGGGAAATGATGATGTCCTGAAACCTTCGGTCCTTTTTTTTTTTTGTCAGTTGTGGGGTCTGAACTCTGGGCCTGGGCGCTGTCCCTCAGCTCTTCAGCTCAAGGCGAGCGCTCTACCACTTGAGCCACAGCGCCACTTCCTGCCTTTTCTGCTTAGCTGGTGCTGAGGAATTGCAAACCCAGGGCCTCATGCCTGCAAGGCAAGCACTCTACCACTAAGCCACCTTTCTTGAAGAACACCTTTCTAGAATATTCCCCCAGGGAGAAACTGAGAGGTTAGAACCCTCCCCAACCCCCCACCCCACCCCAAGCCCCAACACATAGTGATGACTATGCTTCCAGTATCTCAGATCACTGTCCAATCCAGAGACTGGGATACAAGGCCAAATCATTGGAAGCCAAAGTCACTAGTATCAATATCAGATGTCATTATAATATCAGATGGCTCCCCAACTTTCACACTTAGGGCTTAGCTAGCTCACTGTGCTGCATCCGAGCCAGGAGCATGCCATCTGTGCACAGGAACTGATACCTAAAGGTGGCACCTGGGTGTTATGGGCAACAGGTTGCTCCCTTTGGCATAGGATGCTCTGAAAATGGCAGCCCAGGAAGCTGGGCCATGCTCAGACCTACACTGCCTGGGATCCTGTACATACTGAGGCCTCAGAGTAATCTTGTAACTCCTGTGTCCCCCTAACACCCTCTTCCTCTATCTCATATCAGGGCTGCTGGCAGTTGAAAAGAGTCATCTTGCATTCTCCACTTCACCCCAGTCCAGTTTCTGATATATCTTGCACTTACCTGGAGCAGCAGCCGCACAGTTGCACTCCACAGACTCAGCTCTTCAGAGGACACTGATGTCCAAGGATCTGATTCAGCTGCACTTGCTTCAAGCTTTAAATCCCCAGTCCATGGCCTGACTAGCTCTCCCACCTTTGACTTGCCTGTCCTGTGATTGCTGGGGTTGGCATCTAAGTAGGACATCCCTATGGGCTATGGGTTATGGGGCTGCAGATAAGTGCTGAGTATAGGTTCCAACCTCAGGAAGGAGCAGGGTGTGGCTGCCACAGTAGCCTGAGAGGAAATAAAAAGGAAGACCATGTTGGAGGAAAGAAATTTACAGATAATCCTGTGTGAGTTCCCCCCACCCTTCTTTTCCTTTAGCCTTTGGGGTTTTGTTAAAACCTGGAGTGCACTGAGCCATTACACTCGAGTCTAGGCATTCTTTTTGAATGTACAGCAAAGATAGAGTATGGACCAAGATGACAGAGCCTACAGCCACACCATCTCCCTGTTTTGGAAGGATCTGCAGTGAAAAGAAATCTCCAAGACAGTGATGAGACAAGAAAGTCTAGAGATAAACGGAGCTGTCGGAGGTTCCAGAGCCTTCATGTTGCTTTAGAATGCATCCTTCCTCTTGCTCTTCAGCATGCCAATGACATAAGTTATCTGCAGAAATTTTTATTGAAGAAAATGGATGCAAAGGTTTTGGAGTAGCTTTAACTTCACCATCCTCTTCTTGATATTTAAGAAATCTTCTCAATGACATGTAATATGAGGATTGAATGCACAGAAGGTGGGAAAATGTTTTAGACAGAAGAAATACATAAAGAATTATTACACTTATTATTGAAGAATTAAGGAACACAATCCCCAAATAATCTAAACCTTTGTCATTTCTCAGAAGGTTTTAAAACTTCACATGACCACTTGAACATTGTTCTATTGTACAAGAAAGTTACAATTAAATAGGTCTGTTAATGTCTAATACTTCTTGATCAGTCACCCCTTCCATCATTCTCTCCTATTTCCTCTGCCCCTCCCCCACACTCAAGTCACATTGTCGACTTGCTTCATCACAAATGTACATTGAATATTATGACCATATTCATCTCCCCTTTTCCTTTTCCATTTATCCCCCCCTCCAACTAGACTCTTCAATTCAAACTTTGCTCCAGCTTCCTGACATTCATTTTGTTATACTGATGGTTAATTGTTCAAAGGATTTACTCTATAAAGTTTCACTTCTGCATGTACTACATTTTAGTCAGTTGGGTCATGCCATAAATGTATATGTCTCTGTGTGTGTTCACATGGGAGGTTGCATTTTGGATCTAGGATTTTTATGAGCTTAGCTCACTTCAAGCAATGTATTTTCCAGATTCATTCATTTCTCTGCAAATTACATAAGTGCATTCTTCCTGGTGGCTGTATGAAATTATATATATATATGTGTATATGTATGCCTATTTATTAATTGTGTTACTGATTTTTGAGGGTTTCACGCTTTTTCAGCTCTTTGTATATTCTGATTATTGGACCTTGTTAGATACATAGCTGACAGAGAAGGTTTATTTTTAGCTTCAAAACCATGTCCTTCATTATGATGAAGCTTTTAAATTTAATGCAATCCCATTTGTCAATACTCTCTCCTATTTGCTGAACCCATAGAATTCTACTGAAGAAGGTCCTGCCTATTCCATTGATGTTTAGTATTTTCCCTATTTCTTCCTGTAGTAGTTTCACAGTTTCAGATCTTACACTGAGGTCTTTGATCCACTTTGAATTGACATTAGTACAAAATAAGAGGCAGGGATCTAGTATCAGTCTTCTGCATATAAATGTCCAGTTTTCCCAACACCACTGAAGAGGCTGCATTTTTTCAAAATATAATTTTGGTTCTTTTGTCAAATAGCTTATGGCTGTTGATGTGTGGGTTCATTACTGGCTCTTCTAGTATGTTCATGGGTTTTGAGTATGTTTTGTTCCAGTACCAAGCTATTTTTGTTACTAGTAAAGTTTATAGTTTGTAATAAAGTTTGAAGTCTGGAGTTGTGTTACTGCTTTGGCATTGAATTGTTCTCTCTGTGTGTCTCTATGTCTCTCTCTGTGTCTCTCACACATACTCTTTCTCTCTCTCTCCCTCTCCCCTCTCCCTCATGTCTCCCTCTCCCTCTTAGGACTTCTTTGGTTATCAGGGGGTCTTTTGTGCATTCATATGAATTTTGGGCTTGTTTGTCTCCTCTCTGTGAAGATTGGAAATACGATTCTGATGGGGATTGCAATTACTTTATGGATAGCCTTTGTCAGTGTGGCCATTTTCCCATTATTAATTCTGTCAATCCATGAACATGAGAGATTTTTCTACCTCCTGGTATCTTATTCTATTTGTTTCTTCAAAGTTTTATGCATTTTTTGTTGTAGAAGTACTTTAACTCCTGGTTAAGTTTATTCCTAGGTATTTTTAGGCTATTGTGAAAAGAATTCTCCCATTTTCCCTGCTCATTGTGGTATATAGAAAAGTTATGGTTTGTGTGTTATTCTTGCTACTTCACTGAAAGTGTTTGTGAGTTCTAGGAATTTATAGTGGAGTCCTAAGGGCTCTGTAGATATAGGATCATATTATCTGTAAATAAGAATCATTTCATTTCTTTCTTATTTGAACCCCTTTTACATCTTTCTCTTGCCCTTTTTCTCTGGCTAAGTATTCAGTACTATATTGAATAGGACTTGGGAGAATGGACATCCTTATCTTGTTCTGGATGTTAGAGGAAATGGTTTTAGTTTTTTGCCATTTTATATGATGCTGTAGGTTTGTCATAGATAGCCTTTATAATGTTGAGGCATGGTTCTTCTAGTCTTCGCTTCTCCTCAGCCTTTACCATAAAAAGATGTTGGATTTTTGTCAAAGATTTTCTTTTCATCTATTGAGATGATTATGTGATTCTTGTCCATGTTTATATTTACATGCTGCATTATATTTCCTCTGTCATTTTTAATAATGTTAAACATATTCACTGGGCATCATACCTTTCAAAAAATAACCTCATGTCTTTTCTTCAATAACATTTTCTATGGTTTTTTTTTACTTCATTTATTTCAAAGAAGGATTTGGTGGATTTCAGTTTATAAGCATATTTGTACACAATGTTAAATTGACAATCCATCTGGAAGCCCAGAGGTTTAATTTTAACAATTGTTATAAAATACATTCCAATTTTTATTTCAATGTTTACTCATAATTCAACTTCTGATACATACTCCTATGCTTTATTTTTTTCTTTGTTATCCACAGATGGTGACATTACCACAGTAAAGAGCAAGAAATTTGATTTCTAGATTCCACATCAACACAGGATTGTTTTCTTTATGTTCAATTAGTATTTGTTTATCACTATACTGATCTCTTTTTCTTCCAGAGTATAATTCTTAATGTGTGTGAAGTGATTTTCAGTTGCATTTCTCTGATGATTTTTGTTATGAAACAGCTTTTCTCTCACTTGTTGATCATTTGTATATCTTCTTTGCAGACTATGTATTTGAGTTCTTTATTCATTTATTTTTATGGGATTGGTTTAGTTTTTGTTGTTATTGATTTGGAGACGTTTTTATGTAATGCATATGAATTCCTTATGTTATAAATAATGTTCAAGTATTATCTCCAACACTGTTATAGAATGATTTTTTTTACTGTCAATGCTGTTGCTTAATAAGTTCTTCACCACACTAAAATGTAATTTATCAGCTAAGAGCTGGTAGTTCACGCCTGTAATCC